CGGTACTGCAGTGTGCAAGTAATCCCGCAATTGTGCTTTGAGCACGTTGCAATGCGGTTTCGGCAATCGACCGGACCGGGGCAGGGGCATCCATTGGAAGTCCTCAAAAGTCAACGGGTCGAGCTCTTCAAGTCTTGACCATGACGTTGAATCCCCGACGGTAGATGACGGCGAAGCTGCCGAATCGGTTGCCGATGGTGATGAAATCGTGCATGCAATAGTGTTGCATGTGGAGCGGTTGGTCCAACGGTGGAACCAAGTGGACAGCATAATCCTCGTAAGTGTACCGAGGACTTGCGACATTCGCATCCTCCCCAGATGTGTAGGAGGCCGCTAGCAAGGCGGCCGAATCTGGCGGAGTGAGAGGTGGAGTCGCCTCACCTCCTGCGCAACTCAGTTTCCTGAGTTAAGACGAGGCTGCACATCCTCCTTGGCCTGATCCTAGCAAAGGGAGGTCTTGTGCTTGGTGTTGTTGCACCAATAGCAAAAGCCGTAACGGCCGCGGTACTTGTACTCGGCCTCGGTCAAGCCGAACTTGACCCATGGTGGTGCTGGCTGTCCATTTCCGGCCGGTGATGCTGATTTCGCCTTCCCGTTCACTCGGGGTTTGTTGTTGCTTCGCGGCTGGACAACAGCCACATGATCTCCCTCACGTGACGCTTGGGTGGCTGCCGGGTCTTCCACATTGTTGTCCGATTGGACTGCAGCGAACTGCTGCTGTCGCGGACCAGTTCTCACCTTCTCCACATAGGTTGGCTGCCACGTTGACTTCTCGTGTGCAGCCGATCTGTTGGTCTTTGATGATCTCCCTTGCCTTATCAATGATCTCAGCGAAGGTGGTGTATTGCTCGCGATCACCAAGTGCCTGGCTCAGTGCAGCACATGACCTGTTGTAGAACTCACGGCGTAGATGCGTGAATGGTAAGTCCAGATCGGGCACTGCCGCGATCTTCTGCCATTCCGTGAGCCAGTCCCGTGTTGTTGTGTTGCCCTGAGACATGGTGAAGTGAAGAGACGGTTGATGGCTAGTGCTGGTGCGTTGTCGACGATGAACCGCTTCTTCCACAGCCGTGTTAACTCTTCCCATGTGATCTTGTCCTTCAGATCTGCGACGTCGACGTCGTGGGTGGCTGCCAGGTGAGTTAACCAGAACTGTAATCCGCCCCATGAACAGGGCGCCGATGTACGCGTGCTTGGCGACAGGCAGAATCCGAAGTTGTGTCGTGAAAGCTTCCCACCAGAGGACTGGATCCTGATGCGTGTAGTCGTCGAACTTCTCCAGTTGGAAAGTTGGCATCTTGTATTGCTTTGGATTGCCATCCGTGTTCGTCGACTGCAGTTGTTGGACCTCGGTCTTCAATGCATCCAGCTGACTGCTGATGGTGGTCGGCGCAGCGAAGGTGCTGATGTCGCCGAGCATTGCCACTACGTGGTCAACGCGTTCCTCCAGTTGGCGGCTAGAGGGTGCATTGCTGGAGGCACCAGCATCTGGTCCTGGTACTGCCTGTTCCAGTTCCAGTACACGGGCATCGAGTGCCCGTGTCGCATCCTCGTGGCTCTGCACCATCCGACGGAGGTTCACCAACTCCTGGTGTTGTTGCTTCAGATCCTGGAACAGCTGTTGCAGTTCCTGGTTCTGTCTCTCCAACTCGGACCGTTGGTAGTTGCAAGCATACAACAACCGTGTCACGAGTTTGGAGAGGAACTCCTTATGCTGCTCTTTCGTTGTTGCCTCGTCGCCGTTCGGTTCAAAGTGCCAGAACTTGAGTCTGTCGATGCTGTTGGCTTCATGCCGCTGCAGCAGATCCTGGGCTTCCTTGCGGCGAGCCTGGGCATCTGCGTCTGCGTCGGCATGTAGCCGCAGCTTCTCTGCGGCTGCCGCTTCTTCAGCCTGGACGCGGGCAGCCTCGGGTGCCATCTGGTATTGCTCCTCAGCCTCGATCAGAGGGATCTGGGCCTGGAACCGCCGTTTGTAGTCGGCCAGAGACTCGTTGGCCAAATGGCCTGGCATGCCCAGAGCTGGGCCCGTCATGCTGACGTGGCACTGTGACTGACGTGGCACTGCTGACGTGGCACTGCTGACGTGGCACTGCTTACGTGTCACTGCTGACGTGGCACTGTTGCGTACGTGGCACTGTTGACGTGGCACTGCTGACGTGGCACTGTCTGACGTGGCACTGTGTCTAACGTGGCACTGTTGCTGACGTGCCACTGCTGACGTGGCACTGTAGCTGACGTGTCACTGTACCAACTGGGAAATGCATGCAAAGGGGTGGGTGGGAGGGAACACGTAGGTAGGCAATCAACCCAACAATACTTTCCTCCGGCCCTAATCAACAAATAAAAAATAAAATAAAAAAATAAAAAAGGACTACTTCCTTTTTTTTTTTGTATATCTGTCGATCTATTATGAGTAGGACATGTCAGAAGAGTACTATGAACGAGATCTAGGCTAGGTTCCGCAAGGTTTCGACTTTTACAAACTGCGATCTTTGAAGAAAAAAAAATTGCGAAATGGAGTAAAAATGCGATTTTCAGAAAAGAACGAAATCCAGTTTCTGATAATATGGCAACCTCCGAATATGCCTAACGCAATAGTTTTCAAAAAAAAATTGCGAGATAGAATGGAAATTCGATTTTTAGAAAAGAATAATTTCAGTTTCCGAGAATATGACCACTTCTATCGTTATCCCAATATGCCTAGAGAACGAAATCCTAACTTCAGAAATTTCAGCTATGTATGCGAAATATCAGAGAGACGAAAATGCTACTATCGGGAATTTTCAGACAAAACGAAATGCGATTTATCAGAAATTTCAGATACTTGTTACGTAAAAAGTACTAAAAACGAAATACTAATATCAGAAATTCTCAGGTAAAACGAAATGCGAATATAAAAAATTTCAGACAATTGTTGCAAGAATTTTTTTTTCCAGAGATTTGACGAAGTCCTACTTGATTTACTAACGAGTAATCAATAGATCAAGCAAGCTGGCTATTTGATTGAGCGGGTCCTCTGAATGAGAGGTCCGCTTCGATACCAAACTGTTGCATGCTGTAACGTGCAGACCAGAACAAGAACCGACCTCTCAATACAAAGTACAAGATAACACAGCGGAAGACTTAGATACCAGTGATCCGAACAATCAATATTGCAATGCAGCC